ACTCTAGCTTTGGTGAATTCTCTCACTCTCCCTCGCTTCTGACTGTACCCAGTGCTTGTATAAATAAATAAATAAATCTAAAAAAAAAGTCACATTTATTTAAAAAAAAATGTTTTTTTCAGTTTTTGTCTTCTGACCAGGTAGATAAAGGTCAATCCTGCAAAGCAGCCGTTCTGTCCTGCTGGTGTCTCTGTTGTTTTGAAAAGGAGGTTTTCCTCTAGACCATTCTCCAGGCAATGAAGTGACTTCAGTCCTATTTCTGTCCATCTACTTGCAAAAGTTCAAATATTGTGTTTTGAGTTGAGTGGTTGACATATTACTGATTTTTTTAAAATACTACCCTGTGAATTGCTGTGCTAGCCACTAAAACTACTAAGACACAGCTTCATAACTGCAGTAATTCAGCAACTAAACATGTTGGCATGAAGGTGTGCCTTCTCTTCTTGGTTGGGCCATGTTCCCAGTTTCATTGCTTGGTGAGATGTAGCACTTTGCTAGAAACCCTATTTATAGTTCAGTTAATTTGCAAAGGGCACCTCTGTAGTTCAGTGCCTTGGTAACTTAAAAAATGTGTTAGAAAATACTCCTGACGTAGCAAGAGATCCCAGGAAATGCAAGTCCTTACCTGGACATACTGGCATGTGAGACATTGGGCATGATTTGCCGCCTGCTGTCACCAGCCAGTAGTATGTCAACCCCAAACTACTTGATTATTGGCCTTAAAAACCCAGCCTACTTGGAAAAAAATTATTTTCTTTTCCACTCCCAACTCCTACTCCTTGTGTAACACTTTTTGGTAGTCATTGTTGATTGTAATTACCTAAACCTCAGGCTCTACACCTTGACACAGGCCCCACGTATCACAGTCATTCTTTCTTATCCTTTAAGACTGTTCTTTAAGGATGCAGGTCTAAATATTTCAAGCTCCACAGGATTCCTAGAGCAATATTTATGACCTGTGTACTCATTAAAATTTGACCTTACCAGATTCCTGAATGCAGCTGTATTCAATTATTATTAAATTCACTGGGTCAGTTAAATTTTCCTGTATATTCAGAGAAAAATAAAATGTGAACTTTTATTTTTTTAATGGGGGTGGGAGGATGAAAAAGAAAAGGATTTCCATGTGATTGCATCATTTCTTCAGAATAACAAATAGATTCCTAATCTTTTAAGTATAAACTACAATTATTATCATTTTTTTTATTTTCTTACATTGTTGTTCACGATAAGAACTTTCTTAGGGGTCAGTAAGAGACACATATTTTTCTCCATCAACATAAGTGTGGGGTGTGTGACTGCCCAGTTGGATTTGGGTAATGATTACAGATAGGCTGATGTGGAACTGGCTACCTTGGAATTTTAGGGTAATGACTTCCCAACTTGGCTATTTCTGAATTCCAGGGCATTTTTTTTTTAATGTCTGACACATGCCAAGATTTTTGCTGGGTACCAGAAAAAACAAAGATAAATTAGCCATAGACCCAGCCTACAAAGTGTGCACAGTATAATGGGGGAAAGGAGAGTAGATTTCAGCCAGTCAGAGTGGATAGAACAGTATTTGCAGTGATTAGGAGGCACAGGGTGTTTAGGGAAGTAAACACATCTCCTTGCATCGCCTTATGAGTGAGGGCCAGAGCCAGAGCTAATTGGAGAGGAACTGGAAAGGTGGGGAGGGACTGATCAGGAAGGTCTTTGTGAGCTGTGATACAGATCTTGGATTTCTTTCTGTGAATGTGTGTAGGAAACTTCAAAGCATTAGCGTGAGTGAAATCTGTTCTCCATCCTTCACGGACAGGGAAAAAAGTTTTTGCTTTTTCATACATGTCTGGAGCTGCTGGGAAGCTTTTACAGCTGTAGAATATGGTGAGGATGTGAACTGTGACTGCTGCTGTGAGTTGAGAAGAAAAGGGCATGGTTAGGAAGTGTTTAGGCAATGCAGTAGAAAGGTTTTGATGGTCAGGTGGTGGAAAGAGTAGTCAGGATGGTTAAAGGAATATTTCTTTCTGCTTTGATGAAATGGTGCTGACACCTAGTCAAAAGGGAATGGAATTGTTCACTGCATACCTATCCAACAAGACTTAGCAACACTGACACTCAGGCTGCAGTTGGGTCTCCAAACTTTCTAGCAGTCAAACCAAAGCAAAAAATACAGGCAGTTTTAAGTGCCATAATATTTAAATGTATGCTAAAACCAGAACTATAAAATGATATAAAATGCAATAAATGCAAACTATTGCTAGTATTGTCAAATAGGCCTTTCACTAAAGAACCCAGGGTACTGTCTCTTGGCTCCTAAGTCTGCCAGTCCCCCACGCTGCCTGGTGGTTCTGCTTTCTCTAGAGTCCCTGTCTTTCAAGGGCAAGAGTGCTGTCCCCTCACAGGACTGACTGAGCAAGTGGACGCTGAGGTTTCAATCCTTGTCTCAGGCTATTTCCTACAGGTATCCTTCCAGAAACACCAAGGTATCCCCCTTCATCATTTTCACTCTCCTTTCAGAGTTTTCTCTCTTACTTTCCCCTTCCTCTGCTAACACCAAAACCTTCATCATGTGAGCCCCTCTTGGTCCTGTCTCATGAGTTTTCCCAATATTCACAGTCTTGCAGGACCAAGCCTAGCAGATGTTAGGCCGAAAAGCAATAGGACATTCCTGCCACCGATATCTTCGCCTTTAAAAAAAATTCTTAAATTTGACATTGTTCAGATATTTACTCTCATGGCCTAACTCTCAGAGCTTTCTCATTTATCTTTATGTTATTGACAAGATGGGAAATGTGAATCAGAAAGGACTGTAAAATTTATCTCGACCATTTCCATCCTTTTACAGAGGAGGATACTAAGGCCTAGAAAAGTAAAGCCGTCTTTCAAGGATGCACATCAAAGTTATACATCTACTTAGTGTCTCAGCCAAGTCTGGATTCAGGTTTAAAAACACTGGCTGCTCTCTGCTGCAAAGTGAAATTGTCAAAAAATGTCTCTTTGTGCACTCTGTGGTCTGTAAGATGGTCTGTGAATGTGGAAGCACATAACTGATTTATAGTATGTACTAATGACCTTACTGAACCAGGGCTGCTTTTAATGACATTAAAGAGCTTGCTTTTTCCTAAAAATGATTGTGAAAATACTAATAGAACTCTGGAGTATAATCCCTATTTCATGTTCTGTAAGATGATGGCAGAATTTGCAAAGACTTGCTGCTACAGATACCCAGTAATTTGTTAATGACTACACACACACACACACACACACACACACTTGGAATTGTTGGAAAAATTAATTGTGCTATCAAACTTCAAAAATAGCATCTTGCTTGCATATATTGTACTGGTATTGTCTAGAAATTTGTAGGGAAACTGAACTAATCCAGAAATTTTCAACATCTTCCAGTTTTTACCTTTATGATACACTGTATGAAGTACATACGTGGGTTGATTAGATAAATGAAGGATTCTCTTTTCATTTATTTTATTTTTTTCCCAAGAAAAAGACCCCAGTGGGAGTAACTGTACAAACAAACCAGGAGAAAAGACTCTGGGATGTTCAAATTAGCCTGCCCTTAAAAAGATAAATATCGTATGCTTTCACTTTTATGCAGAATACAGAGAAGCCAAACAGAGGGTCAGAAAGGAGACAAACCAGCAAACTGATCAGAGGCCACAGCCGGCCAGTGGGGGGTTGGGGGGGGGGGGTGGGGGGAGAAGGGCCAAAAGCAGGGGAGGGAAGAGCACAAGGGACTGTGGTGATGGAGCACGGGTGCTGTGGCAGAGGGAGAACTGCAGGGACTACACCTGAGGGGAGAGATCAAATACTGTCCAAAAATTATTAACAATGTAAGAAAAAAAATAGAATGTACTTCACTCAGGAAAAAAATGTACATAGACAATGTAATACTATTCACCCCTGAGAAAGGAGAGCCTGCCATTTGCAACCATGTGAATGGACCTTGAGCGGCTGAGTGAGGTAAGTCAGACAAAGACAAGTACTGTAATATTACCTAATACTGCCTATATGTGAAACCTAAGATAGTCAACTCTGTAAAAAAGATATAACTAGTAAAATGGTAGTAACTATAGGATGAGGGGGGTAATCTTGATGTAAGTAATCAACAAGCCATGATCCTTTGTGTTTAGTATAATGAATATATACAGTATTGTACTATAACATTGTGATAAATACTGCTTCAGTGGCAATCATTACAATATAAAAACGTATCAAAGTAATAAGCTGCCCCTTAAATTTACAAAGCATAACATCAAATTTATCAAAGAAAAGCCAACTTCCCCTCCCCTGAAAATAAGCCATCTCTGGACAGCAGTGCAAAATAGTAAGCTAAATTAAACTAGTCCTTATCACTATAAAAGTTGTTAATTTTATTAACAGATAAATTCTAAATTTGTGAAAGTGAACCATTATATTAAATTAAAGCCTTTGTTGGTGAATTCCATTGATTGCATTTAATAAAATTATCCTATATTAAAAAAAATACTGAGGGCCTCCCCGATGGTGCAGTGGTTGAGCACTGGGTTGCAAAGCTGCCCGCAGCCTCTGCAGCACCGGTTCAATCCCTGGCTGCTCCCCGGCCACCAGAGAAGGGTCCCACATGGCGCGCAGACATCTCCTGCCGCCCACTGCTCCCCTCGGCAGTGCACCTCGGTCCTTCTGCCTGCTCTGCTCCCCGCTCTGGCTCTGGTGAATTCTCTCACCCTCCCGCGCGTCTGACTGTACCCAGTGCTTGTATAAATAAATAAATAAATAAATCTTTAAAAAAAAAAAAATTCTGAGACCACATGTTAAAAAAAGCAAGAAATTAATTCTGCCCTTTATGAATTTAAGTTGGTGATATGAGATAGATATGAATGTATATAAACATATAGCACACATGCATAATATATAAAATATTAATGGTGCTACCAAAAATCTGAAACTTTCCTTCTTAGGATATGTTAAATATTCTTCCTGAAATCTTTATTATTATTATTGTTTTTATTTCCCCCTCTGTAAAATGAGAAAGTAATACATGATTGAATGATTCTAAGAATATTCTAAGTAGTCAATAAAATGCTATTGTAAAATAGCTAGTAAATGTATATGCCAGGCTTCAGTGATGTTCTTCTTTTTGGTAAGGATTCTCCCTTTAAGCAAAGCTTTTGTGAATAGTTCTTGAACTGCTTTCTGGGAGGAGAAGGGTGTCTGTAGGATGCTCCCACCTGAAGAGGCCAGGGAGCCTGGCTCCTTTGACTGGAGGTTGCTAGGCAACCAGAGGAGCTTTCAAACAAGCCTCAGTGTTCCTGCCTGGCCTGCTGCCATCCCCAAACAGGCAAGTAGACACACACAGTAAATCAGCACTGGACTGTAATGGTTGACGTGTTACCCTTTAAGAAGTGTTGATATTTTATGGCAAGAGGTTTGTTTGTGCAGAACTAATCAGTCCTTCTAAGGGTTTATTAGCTAATTGGCCAGGATCAAACCTTTTAAAAAAAACTTTTGGAAAACAGTCATCTGTGATTACACTGAAGGAAAAACTCTTATGATGAAGTCAGAAGTGTTGATCTTTGAGAACACTTGCCAGCCTGCATAGAAATGTGTGTGGAAAGAAATACATTTAAAATATGTCCTTCTATAGTAAATTTCAGAACGTTTCTCCAAATAAGAAAAAAACAGATGGCATATGTCTTGTTAGGTCATAACTGATACTTTGGGACAGATCCAGACCAGTTCCAACGACAGGCAAATATTTGCAGCAACATTTCTTTAGAAAGATTAGACATCACTCAAAAAGCTTTAGAAATTATTTTTTTAATCCACTTTTGTTTGTTCTTTTTAAGTATCTATGTCTGTGGGAGTCTGCTTATTTGAGTGAATGAAAATGCTCAAACCAGCGGTACTGTGAGGCACAGGTTGATTATATTTTTGAATGTGTATACTTACTTAGAAATACGTACGTAGTGAAGTGTAAATTAACTTTGAAAACCCTGGATAATGGGCAATATTTTGTTCATTAGCTATCTAAGCCACATTCCATAGCAATGCCCTCTTGTCCTACGCCATAGCTCCCTGGTTAGAGTGCTTACAGTGTTGTAATGAACACACTTGTTTAATTAACAATTTTCCATAGAAAATTGTAAGTTGTCGGGAGTTTACATGTATCATTTTACATGTCCTACTTAACTCACTGTTTCTTTGCCAGCATATAGGAAAATGCCTATTTCCGGTTTTCTGGCCAGATTAAAGGGAAAAAATTAGAAGGAGGAGGTGGTTGTGTGTGTGTGTGTGTGTGTGAGAGAGAGAGAGAGAGAGAGAGAGAGAGAGAGAGAGAAAGGGGGAGAGAGAGAAAGGAAGGAAGAAAAAAGGGAGGAAATAATGAAAGAAGGAAGTGGGGAGGCGGGAAGGAGTAAAGGAAAGAAAACACAGGGACAGCAGAAGCAAAAAAGGATAATGCAAGAAAACCAATTGAGTAGTTATTTTTTATTTGCCATAAAATTAAGGACCTGGCCAATTCTTAGGACTTTTTAAAATTTAGATCGGCATGAGTGACTGAGTTGCTTATAACTCTAAATTTATATTAACAAAGAATTCAGATGTTCTTTAAGTAAATTAAATAAAATCTCTAAAGATTTTTAAATTAGGGGTTTCTTTTTAGTTAATTATGTAGAAAGCAAAAGAAATATACCTGGTTATATTTTCCCAGGAAGTAAAGAAATGGCTTTTAATTTTTTAGTAGAAGAATTGATTCCTCATTTTTCTCTTCAGTTGAATACCAGCCTTTGCTTTAGCCAAAAAATTCTATAAATCCTCAATTTCTGTTTCTGTAGAGTCCTTCCATTATCTCCCAAGTCTACAAAACTAAAGTACTCACTGAGTTATCTGTAATGAAAGTTCTAAAAAGCATGTGTGCACTTTAAAAAAATAAAACATACAGTGATTATCCTAACTCACAGATTGATCTTAATTAAGTTAAATTATATTAATTAGAACCCTCAGTCAACTGGTGAGCATGGATGTGCATGTATTTTTCCTATATTCTGCTTATAGAAGAAAAAGGCAAAGGAGTAAAAATGTAAGGGGATAGTATTCATTTAGTGTGCAAAAATTCGATCTTTGACATTATATTATTGGAATAGATTTATATAATAAGAATCCTTTCAATTAGCATTCATAATAGTGAACCTGAAGTATTTGCAGAGTATTTATCGTACCTGAATATTTACAGAGAACCTGTTACCGATACAGTATTGTGTTAGGGCCTCAAGCAGAGATAATAATGGTGGGACATATTTGTGTTAGCAATAATTAAACATTTAGCGTTTATCATGTACCAGGTGCAATGTTAAAGATATACTACATTGCCTCAGTATACACAAAACTACTATGTGGAAGACATTACTTTCTCCCCATTTTGCACATCTAGAAACTAATAGAGAAAGCAAGTAATTTGAAAAAGATGATATAGCTATCATATTATTTCTTAAAGTAATTTACTTTTATTATTTAGATAACATTGGTTTATAGCACAGTATATAATGCAGGGGAGCATTATATCCTGAAATATCCTGAAACATCCTCCACCAGAGAACATGTATCCCCTTACCGTATGCCATTCACCCCCTTTGATCCCATTTCTAGTAGTCTCAATTCACTAAGCGTGCTGTAATGAAACATTCTGAAATGTACATGTGCACTTTCTCCATCTCCCCCACTGGGGGCCCCACCAGTGTTACCTGGAAACAGCAAAGAAACGTGGTTGTGCTCATACACTCACAATGTAATGTCACTAACCAATAGCTATTAACCTCTTAGTCTCCCTCTTGTCTCCAATTCATGAAACATTTACACTGATAGAACTTCTGAAAAGGTGTTAATTCCAACATAGGAGAAGGGGGAAGGAGTTGAGGATTGATTTCAACAGTCTCCTGTGAGTTATCTGGAACTCTTCTCTTCATCCAATCCGACACTAGCTCTTGTACATCTGCATCCATGATACACCCCCAACTCATTCTGTTCCCTCCAGTATCACTGCCACTGCTAGTCCGAACATTATCATCAGTCACCTGGGATACCTGCCGTTGACTCCAAACTGCTGTCTTCCCATCTTCCAGCCCATTTTCCAAACAGCATCAGGATGCAGATAGGATCATGCCTCTTTCTACTTACCACTCTTGGATTGTTTTCATTGCAATATCGATGAATATAAATTCCCTCCCATGGTCTGCAAGGCCCTGCCTACATATCCAAGCCTATTTTCTTTTAGACTCTTGATTGTTCAATACATTCCAGGTATTCTCATTTTCTCTCAATTCATTTCTGGAATTCGGCCTTTCTGCCTCAGGATCTTTGCATATCCCCTCTACTCTGATGGAATGTGCCATTCTCTTTGCCTGGCTAACTCCCACTAATTATTAGCTCTCAGCCTGTGAGTTGTTAAGTCTCCCTCTTCCCTGGCAACCCAATTTCAGACCCCGTGTAATATTCTTTGAAAGTATCCTTTCCTTTTCCATCAGAGTGTGTATGTGTGTACTATTTGTGTGTTTGAAGTCCACCTCGACCAGTTGATCACAAACCGCAGGAAGAGCAGGTTGACTAACTACTGAATCTCTGGTGTGGTCAAACAACCTAGTGTTGAATTCGTATATCCTCATCTGACAGGACACCTTGGATACTCAACCTCAGCTTCTTTCCCTGAACAATAGAGAAAAATAATACTACCCTTTCTAGGGGATTGTTGCAAGGATCGGACCACAAAATCCATGTAAAGTGCTAAACAGTGTGCCTGGTGCATAAATGCTATTCAGCCTATATTGGTTATCCGTATATTATTATTGCTTTTAGGATTTGCTTACTTACTGTAGGTAGAAGCCACTGAGAAATAATCTCAGGTTTTGGATAATTGTAAAAATTCTCTAAAGGGGTTATTGTTATACAAGTTAGAACAGCTCTAAACACTGTGTTTTTAACTGACAACCTCAATGCCATTCTAACTGTTTATTAAAAAACTGTCAAATATTTCAATTTAGCATGCTAGTATATAATTTATTTTGTGCTTCAGAAGTTTTCCTACAATATGTTGAGGTTTGTTTTGTTTGTAGAACTTATAAGAATTTATTTTCAGATGCTTTGAAAAGTAATCCACCATTGCTTTTTAAATTTTCCATTGAGATTGTTGAGATGAATGTATTTCAAACACAAAGCAAACTGGTTAGGTCTTTTTACTAAGACATTTTGTTTTTAGAAACTTCAACTTTTGGAGAATAATGATAACTTTCCCTCTTCCCCCCTCTTCATAATGGGGTTTTCACGGGAGAGCTTTTTATACCTTCAGCAGGGTCTATACAGTAAAAATTCTGTTCTGTGTATAAGGATTGTGACAGTGTATAGATTCTCACCGTCAGACACCTTCCTTTGGGTAAATATTTATGTGACATGAGAAACAGAATTTAAAACAGTGCTAAAGAAGCTACATACTCTCCTTGACAACACAAAAAACAGAAAAGTTTGTGTATTAAGAGTTGGTTTTAGCAGTATCTAGCATAGAGAAATACAGACAAAAATATACTTTGGTCCTGGAATATTTATAGCATTGCCTGTTTAAATGTTGTGCCCTATTTAGGAATATTTTTTGAGTGAACTTTAATGTCCAGGAACACACTATAAACTGGTGGCAGGGTAGCACATACCCACTGCTAAAGGCAACAGAACATACTCCTGCTTTTCATGAAGGACAGAGGAGGGATTTGCATTACAAGAAATATTCCTGAATTCTTGTACACCCTGATATATAAGACGTTGTTGAAGATGGATAGCTGCTTGGAAACATTGTTGTGTTTTATATGCTTTTGTAAGAAAATTGTCTGGATGATTTTATAGATGAGAAAGGCAAGAGGTACCATTGTGTTACTCTGAGTTATGCAAACCCACATAGGGCAGCACTTGTGCATGTGGCACTTCCAATATTGGAGAATGGATTTTATACATGCTTGTCTCCTTGAATGAAATTTAGTCCTCATGCATTCATCTCACTCATTGTATCCTCTCGGGAAGCATTTCTGGCTCTCGCGATGGGAGTGGGTACCCTTTCTATGTGCTGATTCACAAGTGTACTTATGGGATTTTAATTTTGAGAGATGTTTGTACAACAAGATGAAGAGGCTGATTGCACTGAAAGAATAATTTTATCATTTATATTTCCAGAGAGGAGGGGGAAGTCAAGGCAGGGCAGAGGAGAACAGTTTAGATTGGCTTTGGAGCATCCTGTGGTCTTTGTAGCACCTGGAGTAACTTGTTTTCTGCACTTGGACTTTGATTTAGGACAAGGGAAAAATC